ATTTTAAAGGAGGTTTGTCTGGAAAAGGAACAGTTATTATCAATATAATGAGAATGGTTTACATATCGATGTAACCTGGCAGCCAAGGAGAGTGGACTGGAATGCACATGTGTGAACAAAGATGACTTCACTGTACTTGTCAGCGGGGGTGGTAGAGCCATTGAGTGAGGCACGGGATCTTGGCATTAAACATGTTGTAGCAAAATTACTTCCGCAGCTTCTGCTACCAGAGTGGAAGGAACATCATGCTGTGGTTGCTAATGACTTGATTCAAACTGCTACCAATGAACTAGATTTCCTCAAAAAGGTCATACCCGGAAATGAACTGTGGGTCTATGGCTACGATCTGTAAACTGAAGGCCCAGTCACCCCAATGGAAGTAGCCTGGTTCTCCATGTCCAAAGAAGGCACAGCGAAGTTGCAGCAAGATCAAGACCATGTTAACTGTGATTTTTGATTGGGAAGGTGTTGTCCACCACAAGTACACCCCTCCAGGCCAAACAATTAATAAGGGGTACTATCTTAATGTCCTTTGTTGAGAGATGCAATACAAGGAAAATGGCTGCAGCTCTGGGCTACTGGTGATTGGCAGCTTCATCATGACAATGCACCCACTCATGTATCAGGTGCGGAGTTTTTTTTGTGAAACATCAATCACCCATGTAACTTAGCCCCCCTATAGCCTAGATTTGGTGCCCTGTGACTTCTGGCTTTTCCCAAAACTAAAATCACCTTTGAAAAGGAAGAGATTTCAGACCATTGATGAGATTCAGGAAAGTACGACAGGGCAGCTGATGGTGATTCCAACAGAGGATTTTGCAGAGTGTTTTGAACTGTGGAAAAGATGCTGGGAGAACTGTGTGAGGTCCCAACGTGCCTACTTTTAAGGGGACTGAGGCATCCCTGCCCTGTGTACAATGTTTCTTGTATCTTGTTTCCTCTTTGATAAATGTCTCTATTTTTCATAGTACATGCCTGGATATTTTCTGGACAGACCTTGTCTATGTTATATATATATATATATTTTAATCCTCACCTGAGGACATGCTTATTGATTTTATAGAAAGGGAAAAGGAGAGAAAAAGTGAGGGAAAGAAAGATCAATGTGACAGAGAAACATGGATCAATTGCCTCTCATATTCACCCTGACTGGGACTCAACCTGCAAACCAAGGCTTGTGGTCTGATTCAGAATTGAACCTGTGACCTTTTGGTTTACAGATGATGCTCCAACCAACAGAGCCATCAAACCAAGGCCAACAATAGTTTGTTTAATTCATGCTGATTTACAGTTTAAACTATAACTAAGCTAAAATTGACATTATATTCTCTCCAATTCCTGAACATAGAGATTCTGATCTGATTTGCACATGGAAACAGAAGCATCAGCTGAGGTTGGCCAAGACACACCCACTTCCCAGAATCTCTGTAAGATTTAATCTCTCTCACTTTGACAGCAAAAATATCAGAATGGGATTTCTTTTGTTTTAAAAAAGAAATTCTTGTTGAACAAAAGGTTGGGGACTCTATAAAGCAAGAATCAGGTTTTTACATTTACAAAATCACAATATAATTATATATTCAAATTTTTCTGCTCACACTATGCCAGAAGATTTGTCTCATAACCAAATTAAGCAGCCTAGTACAGCTCTGTAGATAATGAAGATAATTTTACCATGTAACTGGGCCCAACATATTTCATTAAAAGTTCCCTCTTAACTATATGACCCAACAATTCCCCTTCTGGGTATTTATCTGAAGAAACCAAAATACTAAATTGAAAAGGTGTATGCATCCTTATGTTCATTGTGCAACATTATTTACAATAGCCAAGATAAGGAAGCAACCTAAGTGTCCATTGACAGACCATTCTCTGGGTAAAGCAGATGTGGCAAATATACAGGGTCTAGCACAAATAACACCCCTTTTTATGAGATGGTAATCATACCAAATCTTTTATTACAAAATCATAAACATGTAATTCTGTAACATAACAATAAAACACTCAAGTACATCATATGACATTTTAGGTGAAATGTTCAAATTGCTGTCCATCTCATGTGAGACATTCATGTACCCTACCAACCACACTCAATGGCGTTACTTCTGCTGGATCCTGTATACAATGAAATATTACTCAGCCATAAAAACAGTGAAATCTTAGCATTTGCAACAACATAGGTGGACTTAGAAGTTATTACACTAAATGGAGAAGACAGATAGGGAGACAAATACCGTATGATTTCACTCATATGTGGAACATAAAAGACCAATAAACAACCAAACAAAACAGAAACAAACTCATGGATATAGAGAACAAACTGATGGTTTCTAGATGGGAGAGGGGTTAGAGGTTGAGAGGAAAAGGTAAAGGGATTAAGAAATACAAGTTGGGAGTTATAGAATAATCATGAGAGTATAAATGCAGCATTGGGGGTATAGTCAATAACATTGAAATAGTTAGGTACAGTGTCAGATGGGTACTAGATTTATCAGGGGGAATCACCTCATAAGTTATATAAAGGGCTCACCACTATGCTGTACACCTGAAACTAATATATTCAATATCAACTGTAATTTTTTTTTTAATTTAAAAACAAAACATAGAGGAAAGGGGAAATATTAATCTACATTTTTGCCATCTCAATTTTTAAAAAAAGTTTATCTCTTAGGAAAAAAAACATATCCTGTTGCTCTGAAAGCTGATTTAAATTTTATAACCATGTAAAAGCCCCATAACATGTCACTTACCTTCCCTTATTTGCTGTACACTAGCCCACCACAGAGGCCCACTCTCCTCACCCCATGTCTGGCACAAAGTAAGAGCTCCAAACATACTTGATGCATGAACAAATGATAGTTTCTTGGCTGAACAGTGAAGTTGTAAAATAACATCTCTTAGGAGGAGGGACAGGAGACTCCTAACTTAAGCCTGAGAACAGGACAGGGTGACAGAGAGCACCACTTGCAATATCCTTAGAGGGGGATTCTTGATCTAGAGTCACTGGGCCTCCTCTGGGAACTATAGTGGTCTTTCTTTCAGGAAATGCTGAATACCCTGCAGTTGGTTTAAGTTGTGGGTGTGTGTGTGTCCATCTGGTGAGGATACCTCAGATTTCATCAGATTCTTGTGTCTTTTGGATATAGGACCTTCTCTTTCTTTTACTTCGTCAATTCAAGTAGGGTTCTTCTAAACCCATATTATTTCTTAGGGGTGGTGAGAGGTCGGGGGAGAGGGAGAAGATGGAAGACAAGGGCAGTGTGTAGAAGGTTTTATGTTAAGTGAGTGAATAAATGCAAAACGATTAGAGTACCCAGCACAAATAAGGGCCTGTCAATGTTCACTTTTACTGTTATTATTACTCTATGCCCAATATTTGAGCTTTCTGAACTTCACAATAACACTCTGAGATCAGCGTAAGTCCCATAACCTATTAACGAGGAAACAAACTGGGGATTGAGTAAACTAACTCAGGGTCACACAGCTAGCTGTCAAGGTCAGAACTATCTAATTCCACAGCTTAGACTCTTCATCTCCACCCCATGGTCAGGATTATTGGCCAGGCTTTTAGTCTGGAGGCAGACTCCCTGACCATTTCTCATGGCTTTAACATCCAAAATTCAAGGGTCTTGCTCTCTCCCTGAGCCTGTCCGTCAGAGCAGGCACTGTGCCTAAAAATTAGCTTCTTCAAGCCAAGGTATTATTTACTTGATCATGTACTATAGCCCCGGTTATCCTACTCAAATTCCACACACAAAGCTAGTTTCTTTCCCAGGGTATCAAGTGGTTAAACAAATAAATCACACTTAGCACAATAAACTCCCTTGTCTCTATGATGCAGCCAAGGCAAAGGCTGGAAGGGAAGAAAGATTTTCTAGTCATCACACACTAGATTGAGGAAGCTCTAAATCGAGTCTACTATTTTCTGGTTTCAGAAATCCAAGCTAAAAACTGCCATTAAGTGGCAGCTCCTAAAACAGCCTTGCTAAAAACATGCGAGAATCCTCACAATTGCATTGTACCGAGCAATTCTTATGTGTCTGCACTTTCCATGTTACCCCTATGCCACAAAAGAGCCACGCAGGCTGGCTAGCCGTTAATTCTTGAGAGGTTTAGTCCCTCAGAGTCACACAGGCAGTGAGTAGCAGAAAGAGGGCTTGAACCCAGGTCTCTCTGATGGCAAGAACAGTGCTCCTAACCATACTCCTCCCACCATGTCCACACAACCACTGAGATTCATGGTACCCAGGGCCAACATCTCCCTTGATTTTCCCTGCAGCCACTTCCCTGAAATCTGGCCAACCTCTTGGGAGGAGAAGCGAAGATAGATGGACTCCATAAATAGAAGATCAGCGGTCTAGCTTTACCACTTACTGGCTTGGTGACCTTGGGCAGATCACTTATCCTCCCAAAAACTCAGTTTCCTCTCCTATGCAATGAGGGTCAATGTTCATTGGGACACGGGTATAGAAAAGAATACGAGCTAAGGCTTAAGTGTTATGCGGCTGTTAGTTACCTTAGCCCCTCCTCAACCCACCGACTCAAACACTAGGTGGAAGCCCCGTCTCAGCCTCCCGACTGCCTTCATCTTGCAGCGTTCTTCTTGGCGGCCGCCGCCGCCACCTCGCACATCCCTCCTCTCGAGCAGCTGCTGTTTAATTTCCCCTCCGTTTCAGTAATTCTCTTGCCTGGCCGAAAGAACTGGCCGGGGTGCTCGGTCAGGACCCCGAGCGTCAAGGCAGAGCTCTTCGCTCGGCTACGGCTGCTGCTCCGCGCCCGACACTGCCCGCGCCCAGTGCACAACTAGCCACCCGTCCCGCCCCTCGGGGAGGGGTGTGACCCGACAGTTTACATAGGAGGTGCCAGCTGTCTGCAAACCCGGAGGCCCGCGGAGCTCGCTCTGTGGCACAGCCTCTCCCGAGGCGCACGGGGAGCGGCCGGGGTCTCCTCAGCCCCAGGACGCCGGAGCCCTGGCCCTCCCGCAGCCTCCACTCTGGCCCGCCGCGCTGCCCACCATGAAGCCGATATTCTACCGCTGCCAAAACACCACCTCAGTGGAGAAGGGTCACTCGGCGACGATGGGCTGGGCGCTCTTCAGCGCGGGCCTCTTGGGCAACCTGCTGGCCCTGGGGCTGCTGGCGCGCTCGGGGCTGGGGTCCTGCCCGCTGCGCTCTCCGCGCCAGCCGCCTTCGGTCTTCTATGTCCTTGTGTGTGGTCTGACCATCACCGACTTGCTGGGCAAGTTCCTCTTGAGCCCCTTCGTGCTGGCAGCCTATGCGCAGAACCGGAGCCTGTGGAGGCTCGTGTCCACGCCGGGCAGCTCTCTGTGCTACGCCTTCGCCTTTATTATGTCTTTCTTCGGCCTCGCCTCGACGCTGCAGCTCCTGGCCATGGCCCTGGAGTGCTGGCTATCCCTGGGGCACCCCTTCTTCTACCGACAGCACATCACCGTCCGCCGGGGCGCGCTGGTGGCTCCCGTCGTGAGCGCCTTCTCCTTGGCTTTCTGCGCGCTGCCCTTCGCAGGCTTTGGGAAGTTCGTGCAGTACTGCCCCGGCACTTGGTGCTTCATCCAGATGGCCCACGAGGAGCGCTCGCTGTCGGTGCTGGGCTACTCAGTGCTGTACACCAGCCTCCTGGCGCTGCTGGTCCTCGCCATTGTGCTGTGCAATCTGAGCGCCATGCGCAACCTCTACGCGATGCACCGGCGGCTGCGGCAGCGCCAGCGCACGGTCACCAGCGACCGCGTAGAACCCAGCGCCGGCGAACGCGAGGCGTCCCCACCGCCCCTGGAGGAGCTAGATCACCTCTTGCTGCTGGCCCTCATGACAGTGCTCTTCAGCATGTGCTCCCTGCCTTTAGTTGTGAGTCTCTCCTTGCCAGGGCTGTGGGGGGCCTGGGACGCGTCTCGCCGCAGGTGCGGGGCAGGAAGGGTGGAGTGTGTTGGACGCGGCGCTACAGACGCTGCGCCCTGGGCCGGGAGGGCTTTTGCTGCGCTCCCACGTCGGGTTCCCTCCCTTCTCAGCCCCAGGACAGACAACCCTATTCGTTGAGCAAGAAGAGGGAGAGTCAAAGAGAGCAAGTGAAAAACCGAGTCCGACAGTGTTACCGGTAGCCCCGAGAAGTTTGTTCACTTGGCACAACTCCCTCCTCTCTGATTCCCTCTGGGAAATAGGAGTTATTTTTGCAATTCAGACCTTTGAAGAACAGAACTTTGTTTCTCCTTGGCGATAAGAGTCTTCTCCTACGTCTCGATGACTAGGTAATGTTTTATTTTAGTGACAGCAGACATGGTCGAATGGAATCTGGGAGGTCTCCCACATTGTGGCATAGAAAGGGAATGAGGGAAGGTGTAATCCTGACAGAGTGGTTTGCAGGGGTGAGTGAATAAAAGCTTAGGTTTAGTTTTTCAAAACTCCTGCGTAAGTTTGGGGGAGTCCAGATGCCGTTTCTGGAGCTGCTGCGGTGGGCGGACGGCCGTGGTGACGGAGGCGGAGAGGCTGTCTGGGCAGGCAGGTGTGAAAGCACATTTTAGCCGCAAGTGTTTTGATAACCTGTCTCGACAGGTTGGTTTTATTTCTGACTTGGCAAGCGAGGTGACATGGAAACCATTACCTGGGCTCTCTGTTTACTGATGAGCGTAGTTGTGGAGAATGAATTACCTCGTTCTTTGGAAAGCGTTTCCTCCCGCGGTCCCCACCAAGACACCTACCGGTGTGGCTGAGGCTTGAGAAAACTTTGTCGTTATTACTCCTCTCCCTATCCCTACCCCGTTCTTGTTCAACATGAACAACGTTTAAACAAATGTATTGCTAATTCAGTGTCTTAGGAGTCTTGAGACTTCTGTGAATAGGAAAGTTAAGTTTCTTATGGCAACGTAGCAATTTTGGATGTTACTGTCCAGGGTGGATACATGTGAAATATAACGTGATTTTCCCTTAAATGAAAGCTTTAATATGGCCCTGTGGGGGGGGGGGGGAGGTTGTCTGCAGCTTCATCATGCAGAGTTAGCGTCAGAGCTCCCAAAACAAATAAATAAATCTATATCTATATAAATAGGTATAGATATAGATATAGCTATTTAGTAGTGGTTCTCGAATTTTACGACACACAAAATCATCAGCAGGACTTTTAAAAACATAGATGGCTGGGCCCTATTCCCCAGAATTTCTGATTCAGATGTTTTTTTTGAAGAATTCTCATTCTCAGAATTCCCTGGGTGAGATGGAAGCTGCTGATCTAGAGATCACACCTGGAGAATCACGCTCCAGAGGAGGAGCTGGCAAGCCCCAGCCCAGAGGCCAAGTCCACCTTGCCGGCTGCTTTTCTGCAGTCATGGAGTTCAGAACAGTTTTTACAAATGAACATTTGCATTCAACGTGATGATAGGGCACACAAACAACAAACCCCAATTAAGCCAAATATTAGTCCAAGGGGGAAAAAAAGATTTTTTCTTCTTCTTAGTAGACATGTAATACAAATAATTATTAGTATTACATTTTGAATTTCATCAACAAAAGTTGTGGAAAGGTGTTTTTCTCTCATCAAATAAGTACCCACCAAATATTCACTTTTTGCTTCTTACATAATAAAATTGAAAACATTTACTGTCCAGCCCTTTCCAGAACATGTTTGCAGACCCCTGCTCTAAAGCAACAGCCTTATTTACTTGTGCTGTGATAAAAGCAGACAGTAGCCGACTGCATGGATAGTATGTCCTGAGTTTGAATGTTTTTAGGAAGAACAATGCAGAAAGCAGCATAATGTAGTAGAAAGAATATTGGATTTGGACACATCTCTAAGGGGAGTTAAATAACTCATATGGGATTGTGAAGATTGGAGGAAATAATGGATTTGAAATTGATTTCCTAAAAACCATGCAAAGTTCCAAGGATATGGAATGCAGACAATATTCTCCACAATAACTGTCATTTTCCAGGAAGCATAAGGGAGCCGGCATCAGACATGGTTTGCCTCAGACTGCATCACTTACTAACTATGATAGTGACTTACCTTTTGTAACCACAATTTCTCTCAAACGAAGATAGCCATGCTTGCTCTGTAAGATAGTTATAAAGATCAGAATATATATATAGCTCCTAACCAGGTACCTGACCTAAAAAATTAGTGTTACTATTATCACTAATCATTATTTCCATTTATTATTATTGCCTGCTGGACATAGAAAATTAAGAAATATGGTCTCCTCACGAGGTAGCATTATATTCTAAGGCAATGGTTGTCAAACTTGTTTTAGTCTAAGGACCACTTTTTACTCTTAAAAATTATTAAGGACCCAAAGAGCAATAGTTTATGGGGATTATATGTATCAGTATTTATCATAATAGAAATTAAAAATAAGAAAAAAATTTAAATATTTTGCAAAACAAGGTAACCCAGTATATTTATTGTATTTTTGCCAAGGTGTAAGGAAAACTCTGGGATTTCAAAAATTATTAAGTGAATGATAATAAAATACAGAGATTATAGCAAGCAAAAAAAAGCATGTTCAGTGCGCAGAAGTACTGAGAACAATTTCTGAAAATGCACATATGTCTAGAAAACACAAGAATGCACAAGCACGTATTCCATTAGCCACGGCGTGATGATATCATCGCACGTCAGGTAACCTCCACAAAACTCACTGTACAGCTATGAGAGGATGAAAGTTGAAAAGGCAAAGAATGTCTTTTTATGAAGATAGTTTTGGCCCTGCTGACACAGTAAAAGGGTATTGGAGACGCCCACAACTTCAAACTCACTCTTTAAGAAATGGATCTAGTGAAGGGGAGAAAAACTTTTTAAAAAAAACCGTACTCATAGCATAAGTGTTGTATTTCATTAAGCTGGTTGAAAGTTTGTTGGAGTACGCATTTTTAAAATTAATTTTGCTGTAATGCTGAATTAGAGCACAATACGTCACTAGACTGAATTTTCAAATTTCCACTTTGATACAGTAGGAAGAAAGTATAGTGAATATGGGATGAACTTTACAGGCAGCACATTCTCCAATGTGGATAACATATTTTCATCAAAATTACTTTTACCTTAGAAAACCACAATGTATCAGAAGTTGGTAGGGAGCAGAGGTGGACGAGAGAGAACATCCATGTATAGATTAGATGAAATAGTTGAGCGGACTAGAAGCCAGGTGAAGAAAAATAATTAAGTTTATCAAAGTCCATGGAGTAAGGGAAGTGCTAGGGGACATCCTGTATGTGTTGAGATAACCCTTGTGCGTGTGTGCGCTTCATTTTGATGCAGAAAGAATGGGCAGGATACTCCTCCCAACAGAGGCTGTTAGAAGCATGTAAGGGATGGTAGGCAAAAGATGGGTCCAGAGGAAAAGGTCAGAAGCGGATTTAAAGGGCTAGAGCAGAGGGCAGAGTATTGTGATGTCTGGGTTGGATAGAAGAGGGCTTTAGAATTGAGAGAGCTCTCCAAAACGGGAATATTCCGACAGGATAGAACTCCTCAGTTGGCAACAGCAGCATTTTCTCAATGACTCCCAATTCCAACAGAGGGCGCTCTACTCACAGATTCTCTGTGTAAATCCACCTACTTAAAAAATGCCAACTGCTTATTTTAGCCTCTCTTATAGAAGTTATTCAAGTATATTCTAGAGGATACTATTGATGAACACAGACTTTTTCAAAAGTCTGAATTGTGTTCAAATTGATATTTTTAAAGAATTAATAGAATATGTACTTTGATCAATGTCATAAATAAATGTCATACTTTTAGTAAACTCAAAAAATAAAAATAAATAAATTACATTAAATTAAAAGTCCAGGTGTAGATCCATACACTTATATCACAAATCAGGTAACTTGAAAATACAATTAACCCAAAAACTGCTTAAAAATAAAATTTGTTTTAATTATATAAGTACCATTCAGTTATCCAGAAGCTAGCTAATCAAGTATTTTAAAATAGTTGGAATTACATTTTGCTGCACTGAACTTTGAGGAGAAAGGAGCAAATGTAAAGACAACCTCATATAAAGCATTTGCTTTTTAAATCAACCAAAGCACACAGCTTATTATCATCTATCTATCCATACAGCACGTATTTGTTACCTATAACATTCAAAACACTGTAAGTCATTGTGGAGATATAAAATGAAAGAAATCACATCTTCCCATATAAGCTATAATATTGAGGTGAAAAAGAGTGATTAGGCCCTTAAAGGGAGTTTAGAGAAGGAAAGAAGGCACGCCTAATTGATAAAATAATAAAAGTTAATTACTGAGTTGTCATTATATGCTAGGACCTGTTGTAAAGGTTTTGCTCATACCATCTTATTTAAATTTCATAACAATCCTGGGAGGTAAGTACAATTATACCCGTTATATAGATGAGGAAATGGAATAACTTGACCAAAGTCACACAGCCAATGAGAGGACTCTGCCTAAGCCAGAGAGTCAGAATCTAAAGCTGATGCGCTTAGCCACTACTTTACTGGGACTTCCTGAAAGGGGTAATATTTGAGGTCGACCCTGAAAGGAGGGCAGATTTGGGCGTGCAATCAACTTCCACGTCTGTAAAATGGAGACAATGGTTGTACTTCCTTCATAGGATTTTTGTGAGGATGAAATGAAGTTTCCAAAGTAAAATGCTTAGAACGGGGCTTGGGAGTATGGGCATTAGATTATTATTGCTATTAGTATTATTAAGCAATGATAATGGGAGAGGGCTTCCAGATTGCAGTTATGGTATATCTTCTTAAGTGCAGTAGGCGGGAGTAGCTGAGCCCACTGAAGTGCTCTGTGGGAAAGAGAATAAAAGGGTAAGGAAACAATCACTATGGCAAAACACATCTTCTCCAGCAGATATTTCTTGATTGCCTTAAGTGAATGTGGTCTATGCATTTATTCATATCCCGTCCCACTAATGTTGAGTTTGTATATTTTCTGTCCTATTGGGTCCATTTTGTCCCATTATGGATTTAGACTCTCTGTAGGCACAGGGGATATAATTGCATCAAGAAAAAGTGGCTGGCCTCCAATGGAGTGGGAGGCAGTGGTAGGGTTGGGCTAGGCAGCAGTATTGGCTGAATGGTAGGAAAAGCCATGGGGTAAGGCAGTTTGCAGGGCTCTGCGGGGGCCACAGAGGCCTCAGGGGGGATCAAGACAATAGGAGTGATGGGGCATAGGTAAGTAGGCTTATGTTTCTATGAGCATTTTTCCCCTAGTCTGAAAAAAGAGATGACGACCACAGAAAGGTAACCAGCTATGCAGAGAATAAATAATTTACATAAGTTGAACAGGTCCTTTTGAAAGTCTCCTGTCTTTTCATAGGAGTATTTCCTGTCTCTTCACATCCACTAAAAGCTGCTGTTTCACTGATGTCTCCATACTTGTGACTTATTTCTGAGCTAACTAATAAGAGAGGGTAGGAAGCAGGCAGGAGAAAGAAAGGAGAACTGAAGAGAATATGGAAAGAGAATATCCCTATTTATGGAAGTGTTGTGACCCTGTTTGTAAAAGATTCAGTGGACTGAATTAATCCCATCTCAGTTCTTCCTCTGCAGGGCCTGACAGGGACCTGGACGCTCCAGTGCTCACAGCCTCCAGGGACATAGAGGGGGTCTCCCCGGAGTCCCCCACTTCCACTGAGCCTCCCAGGTCAGGCCTGCCTCTTCCAGGCTCCTCACTTGCATCCAACCGCTGCGGTAGCCTTAGTTGCTTATAAGTTTACCACAAACGAGTATTCCAAACTGAGCTGCCATGTGCTTACAGAAAAGTAATGTGTCCTAAGTGAAGTAAGAGAATGTACTGCTGCCATCAACCTTTCACTATTGTAATGAATTTTTTTCCTTTAAAATAGTACCGTGCTTACTATGGTGCATTTGAAGCTGTCCCCAAGGAAAATGGAACCTCTGGAGAAGCCGAAGACCTCCGTGCCTTGCGTTTCCTATCTGTGATCTCAATTGTGGACCCTTGGATCTTCATCATTTTCAGGACGTCAGCATTTCGGATGTTTTTTCACAAGATTTTCATAAGGCCTCTTAAGTATAGAAATTGGCATAGCAATTCCTGCCGAACTAACATGGAATCCAGTCTGTGACAATGTTTTATAAGCTCTGGTATGCCGAAGAATATATCACATTTTCTCTCAAAGAACCAAGATTTTTTTAAAAAAATTTTTTTAATCGTTACAATTTAAATCCTTAAAAGTTATCTCCCATAACAAAACACCTTAATTCATTTTCAGAAGTATTTGATATCTTAACAAGGTCTTGTCACTCTGTGTTCATGAACCAGTTAGGTACATTTTTTTCATTTCAAGGTATTAATAGGAACTAAAATGTCATATACTGTAAACACTGTTAAAAGTCTTAAAGCAATGATATTAATTCAGCAATTTTCAACCTTTTTCATCTCATGGCACACACAAATTACTAAAATTCTGCAGCACACCAAAAAATATATTTTTTTCCTGATCTGGTCAAAAAAAAATAGGTATAATTTTGAGTTATGCTAGACAGCTATTGCTTTGGCTGTTGTCTTCTTTTTTTTTTTTTTTTACAATCTAAAGGAAAAGAAGTCAGTGCCCCTGACTAAATAGGTATTGTATGTTTTAAAAATTCTTGTGGAACAATATGGTGCCTCCTGCAGCACACCAGTTGAAAATCACTGTATTAATTGTCCCAACATGTGTCCTTAGTGTCCCTAGTTTTTTAGAGAAGTCTTGAGACTTCTGGATCTTTATTTAAATCCAGTAGAAACACCACTATTTACAATTATATGATGGGTGTCCTTAAGATTTCTTATTCATTTCTACTGAGACCTGACTTATGTTTTATCAAAATTTAATTTTCTTTGCCAAATGACCGAAGCATACCTGAAATATAAATGCTCCTCAGAGAAGCGAGGTGTGAAGCACAGCCAAGTCAGGAGTTTGGAGGGGCCTTCCCCAGCCACCATCAGGAGGTGTCACTGAGTCACGTGCACAGACAAAGCTATAAATAAGCGGACATAAGGCATGATGTGACTATGCCCACAACTCAGAGAAGAAAAATTTTTATCTTTTGCAGTCCAGATTCCTGTGTTTTGAGACAGAGATATCAATAGGAATCAAATTTGGGAGTGGCTACAAAATCTGTTTCAATTTTTGGCACCTGCCTTTTATAGGTTTATCATGTTAGCAGATTTTGGGGAAGAAGAATTTATGCTTCTTGGAAAACAGTAATGTGAGACTTAACCAGAGAGCTGTGTTTACTACCTGTGGCTGTGTGAAGCAGCAGGGAACGCAGCACAGCAAAAAGCCTGCCCAAGACTCGGTCAGCCTCAGTTGAGGGTGGTGGCAATGACCTTCATATCTACCATATGGTTAACAGTCATATTCTGCTCTTTATGGAGACAATTAAGATGTATTTTTTTAAAGACTTTATTTATTTATTTTTAAAGAGGGGAAGGGAGGGAGAAAGAGAGGGAGAGAAACATCAATGTGTGTTTACCTCTCTTGCGCCCCCTACTGGGGACCTGGCCCACAACCCAGACATGTACCCTGACTGGGAATCAAACTAGCGACCCTTTGGTCACAGGCTGGCACTCAGTCCACTGAGCCTACACCATCCAGAATAAGGGCAGAATAAGATCTTACTGAAGTTCCAGAGAGCTATCCATGTTTAAAACTGGAGCAGGATGAGCTCAGATAAAGCACAACTGAGCACTTTAAGTATACATTTAAATGTTTACAAAGGTTTGCAACACTATGACCAAAAGGAAAAAGTGAGGAAAATACAGCTGCAGCTATTAAACCAAACAAGAGACTCTAAACCAGCATGCAGGTAAAAACTTTTACCTTTGGTGAAAGAACAGATGGGGAACATTAGTGGGATTTCAGCATCTCTAGAGTCCCTTTGTACCTTGACATATGTGGACTCTAAGAGGGAAAGCCAGCTACATTTGGATAGACCTGAGACCCCCATTCAGCCGTCCCTTCCAAAGACAAGAATATTTGCCTTATTGCCAACTTAGCAGCGACCCCATTTTCACATCAGATTAATATCAGTGATGGCATTAACCTGGATATGTGTATGTGTGTTTGTTATATTTTTTAAATTATATATATATATATATATAGTGACTATTCTTTTTTTAAAAATTAAATTTATTAAGGTATATGTATGTTTGTATAGCAACACTGTGAAATGGCCAAATCAGGAATATATGACTTATAATTTGAGAGTATGTGATGAAAAATGCAGTCATTTTCAAAGTTTAATTTTCATTTGTGTATTTAATGTGTAAATAAATATGTGTTTTATTGTCAGAAGAAGTGTATGTTTTGTGTTCTCTTTTTGGAAGACTTGTTATGATAATTGTCAAGGTAATTTGAAAAGGTCCCAGAAGAATCAATAAACATAACTTTATTATATTTTGCAGAGGGAATTGTTTTTATTCCAAAAAGGGGCTTAGTTTTCTTTTTTGAATAAACAATTTTAGCAGTGTTTCATTGTCTAGCAGTTTAATAGGCTGTTTTACTGGCATTTATACTACTTCACTCAAGTCAGCATGGGTTTATCCAAGGACTTAATGATCCTTTCTCTTTAACACAAAATGTAGATATGTTATCCTGATGAAATTCATGTTAAGTTAAAAAGTCAACTATTCACTGATCCTCATTGATTTATTTGTTAGTTCATTAAGTCAGTCTCAATTGACACATACATTGTGCCAGACAGTGGGTCAGGAGCTGAGGAAAAGAATACACTCGACTCAGAGCTGGCCCACGAGCATCAGGGAGACAGGCACGTACACAGTTACAGTGGAGAGAAATCCCTACAGTGAATGTGCCCATCGTCCTGTTAGAAGAGGTGGCCTTGACTAGGGGTGACGTGGAGCATTATCAGAATTTCTCAGTGAGAAGACTCTTAAGTATTTAGAATGAGTAGGAATTAGACTTCTTGAAAACTGGACAAAGGACACAAAGATATGGTTTACAGAAGGGGAAATACATATGGTTAATAAATGCAGAAAAATATCTTGCCTAATCAGAAAAATGCAAAATTAAAATCAAATTATCAAGGACCAAACACACACGAAAAATATGACTCAAAAACCGAGGCTGTCATTAAGTAAGAACAACATGAATATTCCCCTGGTGAGTTTCTAAACGTGTCCACCTTTTCCTGATAGCAACCTGACAGTGTATATCAAGAGCCTAAAATTCTTTTCTACTGCTCTTTTCTACTGTTTCAGTAATCCCATTTTAGAATTCTCTCCCAGAAAGCAATCAGAGGGGCTGACATAGTTATGCACAAAACTCTCATTTGTAGCATTATATATAATAGCACAAAAAATGGAAAGGAAACCATCTAAATGACCAAAACAGGAATCAAACAAACTTTTTGGATATATACATATACACACCCAAAAACATATATGAAAATTATGCAGCCATTAAAAATGTTTTCAAATAATTTATTAAAAATAAGAGGAAAGTTTACAGTATAACACTAGGTGAAAAAAAAAAGCACGATACAAACTGAGTGTTATCCATAAATCTATACGCATAGGAAATGCCTTCAAAAAAAGAAATCAAAATATGCACTACAGTTACCTTTTTTATGGACTTTTTAAAATATAAATCTTTGCATTCTTCAAGTTTTAAAACATTAAGTCCATATTTCTTTTATATGAAATTATTTTTTATTTTTCCCTGTTCTATGTCCCCCCCCCCCCAATTAGTTTTTAAAAGTAGGAATAGAAATGGATGGACCAAGCAAAGGGGAGAAGCCATGGAGGAAAGCTTTCTAGTCTACAGAATGGTGTGTGCCCAGCCACACAAGGGTAAAGGAGTAGGGCGTGTCCAGGCTCAGTTAGTAGCTCCCTTGTGGGACCTTTGGGAATTAGGAGGAAAGGTGGCTGGAAAAGAAGCTGAAAATAGAGGCACATTTCATACGGCGAGGGTGTTGGGTGCAGGAGTGAAGGGCTGGAGTTCTGTGAGGCCTGGATACTCACGGAAGATTTTGAATCCAGGGCGCTAACAGAATGGAGTTTGAAGAAGATCATCCTGGTGGCACAGATTGTGGATGGGGCAGGTGGGGGCACCAGATGGGCAAACGTGGGTGTGCTGGGCCCTGTGCAGCTGTGCAGTCAGTGCACTAGACCAGGGTGCCAGCTAAAGAAGGGAGCAGGGACTCAAGAGGTATCCTGACCCTGCTTTCCTGGCATCAGCTCTGAGGAAAGGGCCCCTTCTTACGATCATTCTATTCGTAGGGACACAAAGACACCCTATATGCAGGCCCAGGAGTGCCCTCCTGCAAGTAGGGTGGAAAGAGGTGAGGAGCTGCTGAATTCAGGCAGTGGAGTGGAGCTGGATCGCACAGCTTTTTAATAGGTAGACCTGATGGGAAGAATCAACTTAACTATGACTCAGTCATGCCTTTTGTCCTTTCAGTTGCATATATTTGACCATTTTCTACCTCTTAGTTTCAAAGTTTGAATATACTCAGGAACAAGTTAGGAAAGGGAAAAAATTCTGAAAAACTCTTTTTTTCTTTCTTTCTTTTTTCTTTTTCTTTTTCTTTTTTTCTTTTTTTTTTCTTTCTTTTTTTTTTTTTTTTTTAGCGTTTGCAGTGCATCTGGACAAAAGATTGCAGCACAAAATGCAGTGAAGTTTCTGGGTTCTCTAGATTTTAATTATATACTACCCAGCCAATTTCATAAAAGGCCCACTGTTAGGAATGTTGATTTTGTTCAGAAATCCATCAGAGGCTGACTGGGCCAGGTATTCATGAAATGTTAGGGCAGAGAAGGAGTTCCATAAATAGAAATACAGATTTTCTGGCTCTCTTTGGGGGCAGGGCTGGAAAGCTGTGCTTTAACAAGTCCTCCAGGTGATTCTCATGCATGTTAGAAAATCACTGATCCATGCAAAAAGAAAAGAGAGAGAATGAGATGGCAGGGGAAGGGAGAGGAGGGGAGGGGAGGGCTAGGGCGGGGAGGGGAGGGGCGGGGAGGGGCGGGGAGGGGCGGGGAGGGGAGAAGACCTGGCTGATGTGGCTCAGTGGATTGAGCACCAGACTGGGAATCAGAGTGGCTGGTTCAATTCCCAGT